CGATGATCCCAAGGGTGATTCTGTGAGTCTGTGAAACCTGGCTGCTCTGAGCAGGACTGCTGGGAGGAGTTGGGGTGTGCATGTCAGGAAAGAGACGCTGGAGCCCTTTGGGAGGAGGGAGGGGTGGGTGGAGGTCTGAGGAGCCGAGTTCCACGAGAACTCTGTGAAGATATTCCACTGGACTTCTCGCAGAATTTCATCTTCTTCCCACCTGTCATCTTTTCCCAGTAGTGTTTAAATACTTCCTGTGTTGTAAGGTGCAACCTTTTGCCCGTCTGTAGTGTAGCACTGATGCAAGGTGTTGTTAAAAAAAAATAAATTGTGCTGGCACCACTAACGACAGTGAAGGCGAGCACGAAGGAGCAAGTTAAAACTGCAACAGACTCCTTCCAGATCTCATTTTAGGGCTGTTTTGTTTGCGTGTTCGTTCCCAGCCTTCTGTGGCTGAGGTGTCGTGGGTTTCTGTTCCTCAGGCTGCGAGCCGAGTTAAAACTGCAACAGACTCCTTCCGGATCTCACTTTAGGGCTGTTTTGTTTGCGTGTTTGTTCCCAGCCTTCTGTGGCTGAGGCGTCGTGGGTTTCTGTTCCTCAGGCTGCGAGCCAGCGACATCATGGAGCCCAACCTGACGTACGTGTACCCGCACACCAGGATCCAGTCCCTCGTGAGCATCCTGCGCACCACGGTGCATCACGCCTTCCCCGTGGTGACCGAGAACAGGGGCAACGAGAGGGAGTTCATGAAGGGAAATCAGCTAATAAGTAACAACATCAAATTCAAGGTACAAAGTTGCTCGTTTGGGAAGTTGAAGTGTGAAGAGCTTTGTTTTGCAGGTGGAAGGCCACTTTCTTTTGCTGTGTAGGTTTCTGCCAGTGCAGGATTTGGGTTAGAGAAAGGTCTCTACAGCAATGCAACAGTTTCAAGGACTCGGTTTCGTTGCATTCTCGGGTTGTGGTAAAGGTAGAAGAGTGGGCCGCATTCCTAGAGGCAAAAGTTAAGGGAACTAAGTAACCTGTTTCGGATACACGTGGAAAAAGTTTGGGTTTGGCACTGAAGTGCTGATCCACCGTTGGGATTAGTAAGTAGGTACCTAAATGCTCCTCCTCTTTGTTGGAGGGGTGGTGGGGCAGAGGCTTTAGTCTCTCGGGAGACTTTAAGGTTCAAATGGGTGACGAATGTGCTTGTGTGTCAGCAACAAAGGGTGCCTGAGCTCCTGAACCCCAGGTTTGCTGTGCAGGGAGAGCCCAGTCCCACCGGCGATTCTTACGAGTGCTGCAGCAGCACTGACCAGGGAACACCCGATCGATGGCTTAAATATGATCAAATAGCTCACAGTTGCTCTTGGATAACCCTGCTTGGATATAACCATCGACCTGCTCAGGGAGTGTGAGGAAATTGCTTCTTGTACCCAGAAATCGAGCATCCTCACCCGAGCTGGGGAGCAGCGCAAGCGCAGTCAGTCGATGAAATCCTACCCCTCGAGCGAGCTGCGCAACATGTGCGACGAGCACATCGCGACGGAGGAGCCGCCAGAAAAGGAGGATCTGCTGCAACAGATGCTCGAGAGAAGGTGAGATCCCGCGAGGCACGGGCGTGTGGAAACGGTGCTGGAGGTATTTCGTACGGTCCCTGTCATCCCGTGTGTCGGGGAAGCGGCGCCAGGGGCCGCATTTGAGAAGTGATTCGTCGGGTCTCATCAGCCTGTGCTGGGGCTCACGCTGGCGGCGGAGTTCTGGGTAATGACTTTGTGGTGTCCAACCTGATAACTTAAATTTTCCTCCAACACCTGTCCAGAAATAATTCCTGGAGAGGATGGAATACCTGGGGAGACATCTTGCCTGTAGAAATTGGCTCCCTCTTGTCTGCAAAAAAAACCCCCAAACCACCTGAGGGCTCTGCAGAGCTCACTCCTGCCCAGAGAAGAGCTGGTGACCGCGACTGTGACGCTGGCACCACCTTGCTGGGAGCTGGGCTGAGTGCTCAGGCTTGCGTTGAGTTGTTTCCAAGCAGAAGCCCAGTCCTGACTCAGTTTCTAACCTGATGACTGCGACTCCTGTGAGTCGCTGACCCCGATGTCTTTCTGGATGCTGCAGCTTTTATGAGAAGCTGAATGATTTAGCACCGAAAATTGTTTTCAAGGCAAGTGATTTGAAATTGTGAGCTCAGAGGCTTGTTTCCGCTCTGCGCTGCGGTTCTGTTCTGGCTGTGCCAACGGCTCCTGGCCCCTCTCTGCTTTGTTCGGTGGAGAAAGGACTCACGTGTCTCTAGCAGAGGAGTCCCTGAAACGTTCGGGAGAAGTCTGCAAAGAGCTGAAATCGCTGCTGTTGTTTCAGAGGAGGAGCCCTCCTTGGGCTCGTGCCCTTACACCGTGTTGTGTGAATTCTGCCGCAGGTACACTCCCTACCCCAACCTCTACCCCGACCAGTCTCCCAGCGAGGAGTGGACCATGGAGGAACGCTTCAGGCCTTTGACCTTCCACGGCCTGATCCTGCGCTCGCAGCTGGTCACCCTCCTTGTCAGGGGTGTCTGTTACTCCGAGAGCCAGTCGGTGAGTCTTGCCAGTCAGGAATTGTAGCAGACACCCCTTCCCTCTTGGCTGAGAAGGTTGGGGACAATATTTATGGGCTGGCAAAAAGAAGTTACCTGGTTTTACATTTTAAGGAATGTATCTGTGTTTTAAAAACTGCGGCTGAGTAATGCGAATTCTCCCTGCAGCTCTAGAATAGAAACAATTGAATTTCTGTGTATGTGAGCACAGGGAAGGAGGACAGCTCCTGTTGAAAAAATAAGCTAATGGACCTGTTTGTCGCATAAAGGCACAATCCTGTCAGAGCTGGAGAGTGGAGGGCAGTTACTAAATACGGAGAGAGCAGCCAGCAGTGTGTACCATGTTATGGCTGCACTTGATGACCTCAGAGGTCTTTTCCAGCCTCAGTAGTTCTGCCATGACTGCTGCCAAGGTCCTGCAGAGTGTCGGCTGCTGAGATCAGCAGGAGGTTGGGTTTGAAGCATCTCCCACACGGCTGGTGGCAGCTGCCCTCCAGCCTTGAGCGTGGGTCTGTCAGAGGCCGGGGAGCCAGACCCATTCCTCTCTCAGCCAGACGCTTTCTAGCTCTGGGCTCGCAACTGCTGCCGTCCGAGCTGAGCTGCTGGCAGTGCCCGGCAGAGGTTGGGTGTGAGGCCGTGGCTGGAGGAGGAGATCCGCGCGAGCGGCTGGGAGGCGGTGCCGCTCTGCG